CTCAGGTCTCCGATTAGCAAACGCTTTTTTGTTTCTCATAATTTCACGTTCCTTGTAGCAAACACTTTTTCTGCAACCTTTGCCCCAACTTACAGCGCAACAACCAGATCACAGCATTCTCCCCTTGCTAGGACCCTAAATTGTTTTACCTTAATGAAGAAAACGCGCTCCAAGTAAGGCATTGTAGTGCTTGTCCTGATTGCACGCGTTTGTACAAGTTACAAAGGGGGCTTCGTAGTTTTCTGGATTTTCAATGGGCTATTCGTTCTCGTAAGGTTCAGTCGAAGACATCGTACCGAGACCTGTTCTCTATTGAATCGTAAAATGCAGCGCTCGGGATTACTCTTCCAACAAACTGTTTTGAAAGTTTAGTGGGTAATCAACTTAAAGTCTAACACTTTTTTTTACTACCCGCATTTCAACAGCACTTTTGGCACCTCTCTAATAAGCTTACCTATTCAAAACAATCAGTAAAATTGGATTAAGGTAGGAGAACAGGATCCACACACAATTTATAATACATTGGTGGTAATTCTTCGTGAGGCCAAGCCGCGCTGGAATTTGAGTCAATATTGCTGGAAAGTTATGTGAACAAAATGTATACTTGAGTTATGCCACGTGACCATGAGACCAAACATCCAACCATTCAGAAAAGTTGCTTGGCAAAAAATTAGAACTTCCTGGGAGTGGTTCCCAGCTCCTCCATTTCGCTTGCTCTGCAAAGTAAGTGTTAAGAAGATTTCCTGCCGCCAATATGACACAGTTTTGGGAGGTGCTTCTATGCTTCTATTTTATTTTTCTTTATTGATTCATGTGAATAAGTTGTTTTTTAACGTTATATGAAGTAACCTTACTATTCACTAAATACGAAACAATTCTAACTTAAATAAGCAGGATGCTAATTGTAGTGAGAAAGCTGTATGATAGCAACCTACCATCAATAAATGAACGATGATGGCAAGATACATTAGATAGCAAGTTAAGATAGCAGGCCAGCACCAAGCAATCTCAAGAATCTAAAAGTTTTGACCTCAATTTTATGCACTTTAGAGAAAAAATCTCGAATGCCTACCTGTAGATACTTTGAGCTCCAAACCGTAAAATCATATTCCCAAGCAATCTTGCCGAATATGAAGGCCATGCCTAGCCAGGACCACAGCCATACCGTGATAGTAAATATCCAGCCGACAGTAATGATACACTAAGTTTGTGTGTAATTTAACAAAACAACACCTTTTGCAAAGACACCTACCCTAAGAGGCCAGATAAGTTGCTTGGGATCCATTCTCTTTTTGATAATCAAAATACGACTGATAGATAGCACGCAGAAATAGGGGAACATTGCCTGCCATAAGCTGTTTACAGTGGATCCAACAAACTGAAATGTGAGAATACAGTTTTAATAATGTACGCAATATTTGAAGCAACATTAACAAACTCACACTAGAGAAGAATTCCGAACGATGTGTAATTTCCGGAAATATTGGGAAGAAGCCGCTGATAAAATGGCATATCAGCTGACCAAAGTCGATGAGATTGATCATATTCATCAGGCGATATATCAGCATACGTTTGATATCTTTATCTCTCCACATCACCTGTACAAACCTTTCACGGAAGGGAATATTTCATTCAAAGGAGATTTTTTTAAGATCGGTCTTTTCTAAATTGGTACGCCCTAGTACACATATCTTTCCACTCACAGAATTACCCTTTTACTCACCTCGGACCTTTTATGTATTAGAATTATGATTATTAGGTAGTCTCTTAGTACAATTTTTCTCATAGCTCGATGTATCAGTTTTTTGCTCCATTTACTTTTGAACTTTTGTGCACTCACCCAGTTGAAAATAAGATAGAATGGAATCATAAATGAGGACAAACAGATGTAGATAATACCAATTCGAATCGCTTCTGGATCGTTGTTAATAGTGAAAAGAGGCGGTCTCTCAGCTAACAGTTTAGCATCCATTTTTTTGTCAACTTTATCCGTAACAACGTCTTATTAGCTTCACTGCAAAAATGATTAGCTCGAAATTATTCTGGCGAGCTAGCGGAAGCAGCAAGGTGCAGAAGCAGCAACAAAAGGCTGCAAACAATAAGTGGTTTTTTAAAAATTGCAATGGCCTAAGCAGATCAGATACTGAAGAGGTGAAATCTATAGTTCTCAGAAAGAAACACCTAGACAAAATCCTGGAACTGATTGTAGACTGTGATAAAAGAAAATGATTTGCGCAAAAAAATGGACTCAGTGTATATGTTGCATCATGCTGTTATAATTCGAAAGCACTAGAATTTGGGGGTGTTTGGAAAAACACGATGTGATGATAACCGAAAGCAAAGATTAAGGGCGGGCTCTAATTTGTTAATCAAAATTGAAAATTCAGAAATGAGATAAACTGCGTTAAAAAGCAAACGTTAAGCTCTCGCACATGCACTCCATGCGCTGAGGAACACAAAGGAGAAGAAGTTATTTGAGATAGCTAAAAATGGCTTTACGAAGTTTGCAGAAATTCTCTGCTGAAACAGCTTGCATATCAGGATGTGAAGTCTTGTATGAGGGCCATATAATCAACTGTAACTTCAAATAAGATTAAGACAATCTTTTCTCAAATGCGTTCAGTCAACTACGTCAAACT